CTCATTTGCATTTACAGGCATTGGCTACAGACATTGTACGCAGCCTCTATTGTATCCCACAGCGCCGCTATAGTATCATGCGATCGGGCGCTAATCTTGTAGCTTTTGCAGTTTCTAAGCCAAATTGGCAGATTACCTAACACACCCCACCGAATAAGTGACGTTAGAGAGGATTTTGAGGGGAATGAATTAATTGGTTGTTGAATGCGTGGAGGGTTTTCCATATGATTTGGCGTTCGTAGTTTTTTTACCTTCTCCATTTTGTTTTTGAAAGAATTTGTAAGGAGAGCATAAACTACAAAAGTTAAAAATTCTACAAAGATTAACGCCCAATAATATGATTATTAGAAAAACAAATAAAATTACGGTTACAATGACTCATGTACGAAATTTACGAAGCCGTATTAACAGCACAAGACGGACTGGTATCACAATTGTACACGATTGAATAAAGACTGGCAAACATCGATTAATCAACACTTTGACTCCCAGGCTTGAAACCACCGAGTTATATCGCTACCTTCTGCTTTCGTATTTCCCGTCTAGATCGCCACTTAATGTAAACTGTCTGGACATAGTCCACCTGCAGACGGGAGATACGTGCCGATCGCTGGTTGCTAAATGCCTCCGCCGGATCTCGATCGGTGCCCTTCGGTCGCTTCATGCGACAATCCAAGTCTGCCAATGTTGGAACAATTTAGCCACCTCGTCAACGAGTTTGCTCACTGCTTCTCCCACTTCTTCAAGGAATGTATCGCTCGCCTGGTTGATTCCTACAGTCAACTGGTTCGTTTAAATTTCTTTCGTTTGGAAATTTGGACTGTATTGTGCTGCGAGTGCTTGAATTGCTAATTCGACTTTCTCCACCGCTCCTTGTAGTATCGATCTGGCGTTGAAAATTATGCGCTTGTTGGCAGTTTGAAAAAGAGGTTCAAACTTGCCTTTTTCAAGAAGCTCCTGTGCTTGACGATTTTTGGTGTTTGGTTGCGGTATCTCCGAACAGCTGATTGTCCTCCCTTCGCTTGTTATTTCTTTGTTAAGCGGGTTAGCGAAGTAGATGCTACTATTGATTTTTACTCTACTCATCCTAGCAGGAATCGTGCCGCTTGTGCTGGACTGAGGCCTTTTGTCAAACAAATGAGATTGTTTCTTACTTTGCAGAATCAAGCTTTTAATTGCTTTTCGCTTTCTTTCCTTCGTTGTTGCAGAATATTGCAGAGGTACTGATGTTTTATATTTTCTGGACTGTGTTCTGCACTGGGTATTGGGATTTCTGTGAGCAAGATCTTCTTGTCGTTGACCTCCTGTTTTATACCGACCATTAACATGGCAAGGCCCTTTTGAAACTGTTCGACTGCGTTGTGATCCTCTTCAGAATCAGGTTATTCATGGATTCCAATTGCTTCAAGGCCCCAAAATTGCCGGAGATCTATTTTCGCAACTGCACTTGTGTAGTTTGCTGGTAGGAGTTGTTGACTGTTGTTATAATGGCGATATTCTCCTTTGCCTCCGAGAATTGGACCGGTAAGAGAATCGAGCAGTACAAAGCCTGGCTTGTGGTGGAATACCGATTGGAAGTCTACAAAATGAAAGAAAGCGTCGATCCCATTTAGTATTTCTGGTGTAGTGGTGCGCTTCTGAAGCATTGTGGGTTGCTGACATTGCAAAACTTTGAGGTTATTTTCGTTCACAGACAAGGTTGTCGTGCTGCCGATGGTTGTTGCAGTAGTGTTGGCGGCCAGCTGCTTTATTTGTCCATTAGTGGTGCGAATCTCAACTTCTATCACATTTGAATGAACGGGTGCTAATTGCCTTTGGCCAAATCCAGTGACCAAAAGTTGTTCTCGTTTCGATGGTTGTAAGTGAAGGCGGTTTACCAAGTCAGAAGTGATAAAAGATTTTTGATTATTTAGGTCAAACAGGACTACTGTTTTTTCATGAAGATGTGGCTGGTACAGGTTGAGAGCTTTGGTGGGTTTGGTGAGAAGGAAGCTATCCGTGATTTTGGTCAAGTGTCCATTTTTTTGCAACTGGGTTTGAGAAGTAAGAACCGCGATGCTTTCATTATCGTCTCCTGCATTCTGTGACTGAGTAGCAAATTAAATTCGTTCTGGCAGTTTTAGTCAATTTTTGCAGAAAGCGGAATTGTGCGACCCTTTGCAGTGGTAACAGGATATCTTTTGGGCGCAGCTATTACTTGTGTGATCGGCTTTTAAACACCGGAAACAAATTCTTGAATCCTAAACGCGAGAAGTCCGATTCTTTGCATCGGCGTATTTCTGGCAAATGTCGGACCAGTGTTGCTCTTGGCAGAATGCACACTTGGGAATGTAGTCTGCTGGTGTCGCTTTTGGCCGCTTTTGGTGTCGAAGTGGCAACTATTTTTTTGTTGGAAGACTTATGAATTTGAGCACGTAAGTTTGCTGGACTTGTCGAACGGACAAATGAAGCAAGTAGGGTTTGAGCTGCGTATTTTCTTACGAGAGGTGCTGCTTCAGTTTTGTTCCGGAGGTTCTCAAGCTTCCAGTTGGGCAGGTGCAATTTTTTTGTGCAAATCTGGAGCAATGGTGTTTTTGGTAGCATTGGTTCGATTAGTGATTCGAGAGCGACGTTGTCAGTGACGTTCTCACTTTGTTGCTCCAAATAGCCAATAATGCGTTCAATTTGATTGAAAGCAAAATCAAGCATACCTTTGGTAGGCGGCATTGTTGGAGTTCCTCGAACAGCTTCTTTTTGAGCAGCGCGGGATTTCCGTAATGGTTCCAGTGCGTTTTTCACAATACCGTAGTTTTCCGGCATTATAGAATACCCGGCAACTTTTAAAAGAGCTTCCCTTTCTAAATAAGACAGTAAACAATTAAATTTGTCGATGGTGGATAGAGGGCGCTCATCGACTGAGTGTGTAAAACAGGCCCGGAATTGTGGCCATTTTCGAACATCAGTATTAGCATAGTTTGGTATTTGTAGCGTGGGGAGTTTGAGTTGTATAGTTGGATTTGTCGTCGGTTGAGGGAGAGTGGCAGTTAAGCGGTTGAGGGCCATAGAGAGTATGGCTTGGCACGTAGATAAATCAGCTAATTTGTCATGGATTTCTTCAATAAGATCAAGAAATGGTGACGTTTCCGAAACGAAAGTGTCATAAGTTTTTACTTCTTCAGAATAAGATGCAGTTTCGTAACACCTTGCAAAGTTATCAACACGAATACACTACAGAAATGTAGTGTACTCGTGTTGATCTGTACAGCTTCTAGAGTTGCTTTGGCGTAACGAGAGGCGGTGGCGATTCTTTGACGTAGAGGTCCGGACATATTTTTGTGAATAGGAGTGAATAGTGATAAACACAAAAGTTTGAATATGGTGCTTGGGAAGTGAAGAATATGGAAGTTTGGGTGTAAGGCGACGGTTGATGTGGGTAGCTCAGTAAAAAAACGATGGCTTAAGCTGGCATGTAAGGAAGGAGGTGATTGATAGTAACAGAGTAGTTGAGTGAAAACACACTACAAGCTTTTATTAGCGCAAAAAGGTACACTGATCTCCTGATAGCTAGGAGATCACTCATTTGCATTTACAGGTATTGGCTACAGACATTGTACGCCGCCTCTATTGTATCCTACGGCGCCGCTACGGTATCATGCGAACGGGCGCTAATCTTGTAGCTTTTGCAGTTTCTAAGCCAAATTAACATATTCCTTAACATATTCCTTAATAGCTTTGAAGTTTTTCTTGGTTTTACTGATGTAAATTTTATGCG